TAGTCATAATACCTTCAGATATTGTAATTACTGATTATATTCATAATGATGCTAGTGATGAATGGCTGTTAAGAGTTATGATGATAGAATAAAAAATCAACACTTACATCTGTACGATCACCGCTGCTTTGCTTATCTGAAGGCAATTCCTGTAGACGTTGACTATCGTCTAAAGCAGAAAATTGCTCACGATTATCTGATAGTGGGCTGATAAATTGTCCGTCATCAGCATCTCCGAAAGTGGACTGTTCCGAAGTTGATACTTTTGATGCTTCCACAAAGTGTTGTGGTTCCGGTTGCACATCTTTGTCGTTGGAGTCAGGAACTGAAGTAACGCGAGTTTTATCTGCTGGCACTATTTCGACGGCAAACTCTCGTGGAGCTTTGGTTATCTGGTCTTGTGAATCGCGACTGGCTTCAGTAATATTTTGTGCTTGTGTAACGTTATTGGATTTTCGCGAATTAGAATTTGAGTTTTCAGATAGATCAGAGCTTGAATTGAGCCGAGTGCTTTCGGTTGGGTGGTGTTGTCTTGGATTCCAGACTTGTCCGTCTACTGTTTTTGGTGACGGTAGTCTTGTTGTTCGTTCACGCGTTTCCGGAGACTCTCTACCGTCCGGTCCTACGGGACCAAGTTTTCCGGATTCGGAAGTGGCACTTGAATGATGTGCACTAGTTATCTCAAATAAATTATCGTTAGCATCATTTGCTAGCTCAACCGGCCTTCCAAGCGGTAACGTGCCAGGTGGACCAGTTTTCTGCGGAGTTTCTGAAATTGAACAACGCGTTTTGGTGGAAACCTCGTTCGAAGCATGCACATAATGCATGATGGAGTATTTCGAAAACAACATACTTCTTTTGTAGAACATGTTTGACTCTTACATCTAAGAAACATTACCCTTTAATCCGAATATCTAGGTTAAGAGAATCGTGATATTAAAGTTCATATTGTAGCCCGTTGATAGCTTGGATATGGTGGTGGCTGTCAAATTTTAAGGCAACTAATATTGCATCGAAAAAAATCAAGGATTATTTCAGCATGCTCGTATCAAACATAAATTGGTCTATGCCTTAGGTTTTCGCTTTATGACTTTGAAACTTTAATTCTCCTAACAGCAACGTATGTGTGCATATACTTTATTGATAACAGAAAAGAGTTTGCTCTATTCGACGTGTACATTTCATGAGCCTGAGGTTAACGAGATGTCATTCAAGCTCACAAACCTGTGTAATACTTCGTGCTGCTGCTGCTCGAACCACCATATCTACCGTAAGTACGCAATGTAGAATAGGAATCAGCAGTAGGGCGTCGCTTTCGATGCCATGAGATGAAGTATGATCGCTTTAATCTAGTG